AAACCTAAAGACCCTACAAAAGTAAGACCTGAACAACCAAATATGGATGAACCAGAAGAAAATGATCTAAAAAATAACCTCAAGAGAATGTTTGAAACTCTTAAAGATGAAATGAGAAATTACCTTAAAGAAATGGAGGAAAAAACAAACAAAAAAATGGAAGATATCAGCAAATCAAGTAAAGAAAACTAAGAAAAAGAACTCAAACATATAAAGGAAACTATTCAGGACTTGAAAACTGAAATAAAAAACATAAAGAAAACACAAGTCAAAGAATTATAGAAACAAAAATCATGAGAAAAAGAACAGAAACCACAAATGCAAGTATGAACAACAGAATACAAGAAATGGAAGACAGAATCTCAAGTGCTAAAGATAAAATAGAGGAAATAGACTCATCAGTTAAAAAAAAACATTAAATCTAAAAATAGCTTAACCCAAAATATCCATGTAATATAGGACAAAATAAAAAGGCCAAATCTTAGAATAATAGGTATAGAAGAAGGAGAAAACATTCAACTCAGGGCTGGAGAGATGGCTCAGAGGTTAAGAGCACTTCCAGAGGCCCTGAGTTTAATTCCCAGCAACCACATGGTAGCTCACAACCATCTATAATAAGATCTGGTGCTCTCTTCTGGTCTGCAGGCATACAGGCAGGCAGAACATTGCATACATAAGAAATAAATAAATTTTAAAAAGAAAATAAAAATCTTTAAAAAAAAGAAGTTCAACTCAAAGGCACAGGAAATTTATTTAACAAAATCATAGAAGAAAACTTTCCCCCACCTAAAGAAAGATATGCCTATGAAGATACAAGAAGCTTACAGAACACCAAATAGACTGGATCCAAAAAAAAGTCCCCTTGCCACATAATAATCAAAACACTGAATATACAGAGTAAAGAAAGAATATTAAGAGCTGCAAAGGAAAAAGGGCAAGTAACATATAAAAGTAGACCGATCAGAATTACACCCGACTTCTCAGTGGAGACAATGAAAGCCAGAAGGTCATGGTCAAGCATTACATAGACATTAAAAGACCACAGATGCCAGCCTAGACTACTATACCCAGAAAAACTGTCAATCACAATAGAAGGACAAAACAAGATATTCCTTGATAAACCTAGATTTCACCAATACCTAGCCACAAATCCAGCCCTACACAAAATACTAAAAGAAAAACTCCAACCCAAGGTAGATGGCTACACCAACAAAAACACAAACAATTGATGGTCTCATTACAGCAAATCTGAAGGAGAAAAAAAAATGCACAAATTAACATCACCAACGATGAAAACTAAATTAACAGGAGATCGCAACCCCTGGTCATTAATATTCCTTAATGTTAATGAACTCAACTCACTCATAAAAAGGCACAGGCTAATAGATTGGATACAAAAACAGAATCCATCCCTCTTCTGCATACAAGAAATGCATCTCAACCTCAAAGACAGACATCATCTCAGAGTAAGAGGTTGGGAAAAATATACCAATCAAATGGACCTAAGAAACAAGTGGGTGTAGCTATCCTAATATCTAACAAAATAGACTTCAAGCTAAAATCAGCCAAAAGAGACAAAGAAGGACATTTCATATTAGTCACAGGAAAAATCCATCAAGAGGAAATTTCAATACTGAACATCTATGCCCCAAATACAAGGGCACCCTCATATGTCAAAGAAACACTTCTAAAGCTTAAATCATATATTAAACCCAACACACTAATAGTAGGGGACTTCAACACTCCCCCTCTCACCACTGATCAGGTCAATCAGACAAAAAATGAACAGAGAAATAAGAGAACTAACAGATGTTATGACTCAAATGGACTTAACAGACATCTGTAGAATATTCCATCCAAACAGAAAAGAATATACCTTCTTCTCAGCACCTCATGGAACCTTCTCAAAAACTTACCACATACTAGGTAGCAAAACAAACCTCAACAAATACAAAAAAAATGGAATAACCCAATGTACCTTATCAGATCACCATGCTTTAAAACTGGAAGTCAACAGCAATACCAATTCCAGAAAACCCACAAACACATGGAAATTAAACAATGCTCACCTGAATTATCAATGAATCAAGGAAGAAATAAAGGGGAAAATTAAAGACTTCCTACAATTCAATGAAAATGACCACATAACATACCCAAATTTATGGGACACAATGAAAGCAGTGTTAAGAGGCAAGTTCATAGCACTAAACGCCTACATAAAGAAGCTGGAAAAATCCCACACTAGTGAATTAACAGAACATTTGAAAACTTTAGAACAAAAAGAAGCAAACTCACACAAGAGAACTAGACAGCAGGAAACAATCAAATTGAGAGCTGAAATCAACAAAATAGAAACAAAGAAAACAATACAAAGAATCAATGAGACTAAGAGTCGGCTCTTCGAGAAAATCAACAAAATATACAAACCGTTATCCAAACTAACCAAAAGGCAGAGAGAGAATATTCAAATTAACAAAATCAGAAATGAAAAGGGGGACATAACAACAGACATGGAGGAAATACAGAGCATCATCAGGTCATATTTTAAAAACCTGTACTCCACCAAATTGGAAGACTTAAAGGAAATGGACAGCTTTCTGGATAAATATCACTTACCAAAATTAAATCAAGACCAGATAAGCAAATTAAACAGACCTATAACTACTGAAGAAATAGAAATAGTCATCAAAAATCTCCCAACCAAAAAAAGCCCAGGACCAGATGGTTTCAGCTCAGAATTCTACAAATTTTCAAAGACAAACTAATACCAATACTCCTCAAATTATTCCACACAATAGAAACAGAGAGAACATTGCCAAACTCTTTTTATGAGACTACAATTACCCTGATACCCAAACCACAGAAAGATCTTACTAAGAAAGAGAATTACAGACCAATCTCACTCATGAATACTGATGCAAAAAATACTAAATAAAATACTAGCAAATCGATTCCAAGAACACATCAGAACGATCATCCACCATTACCAAGTCGGCTTCATCCCACAGATGCAGGGATGGCTCAACATACAAAAATCTGTCAACGTAATCCACCATATAAACAAGCTGAAAAATAAAAACCACATGATCATCTAATTAGATGCCGAAAAAGCATTTGACAAAATACAACAGCCCTTCATGATAAAGGTCTTGGAGAGAGCAGGGATACAAGGAATACATACATAAACATAATTAAAACAATATACAGCAAGCCAAGAGCCAACATCAAACTAAATGGAGAGAAACTCCCAGTGATTCCACTGAAATCAGGAACGAGACAAGGTTGTATACTCTCTCCATACCTATTCAATATAGTTCTTGAGGTCCTAGCTAGGGCAATAAGACATCAAAGGCAGATCAAGGGGATACAAATTGGAAAAGAAGAAGTCAAACCTTCACTGTTTGCTGATGATATGATAGTTTACATAAGTGATCCCAAAAGTTCTACCAAGGAACTTCTACAACTCATAAACACTTTCAGCAATGTAGCAGGATACAAGATTAACTCAAAAAAATCAGTAGCCCTCCTGTACACAGATGATAAAAGGGCTGGGAAAGAAATTAGAGAATCAACACCCTTCACAATAGCCACAAATAGCATAAAATATCTCAGAGTAACTCTAACCAAAGATCACATAATTCAATAAAAAAAAAATGGAGTACAGTCCTAAACAGAGAACTCTCAACAGAGGAATCTAAAATGGCTGAAAGACACTTAAGAAAATGTTCAATATCCTTATCCATCAGAGAAATGCAAATCAAAACAACTCTGAGATTCTATCTTATGCCTGAAAGAATGGCCAAGATCAAAAACACTGATGACAACTTATGCTGGAGAGGTTGTGGGGAAAAGGGAACACTTCTGCATTGCTGGTGGGAATGCAAGCTGGTACAACTCCTTTGGATGTCAGTGTGGCAATTCCTCAAGACCCAATAATACCACTTTTGGGTATATATCGAAAGGATGCTCAATCATGCCACAAGGACATGTGCTCAACCATGTTCATAGCAGCTTTGCTTGTCATAGCCAGAACCTGGAAACAACCTAAGTGCCCCTCGATCAAAGGATGGATGAGGAAAATGTGATACATTTACACAATGGAGTACTACACAGCAGAAAAAAATAACGACAGCTTGAATTTTTCAGGGAAATGGATGGAGCTAGAAAACATTATTTTAGTGAGGTAACCCAGACATAGAAAGACAATTATCACATGTAGTCACTCATAGGTGGTTTTTAAACATAAAGCAAAGAAAGCTAGCCTACAAACCACAATCCCAGAGAACTTAGACAACAATACGGACACTAGGAGAGACTTACATTGATCTAATCTACATGGGAAGTAGAAAGTATAAAAAGGCATGATCTCCTAAGTAAATTGGGAGCATGGTGACCTTGGGGGAGGATGGAAGGTGGGAGGGGAGAGGCAGGGAGGGGAGCAGAGAAAAATGTAGAGCTCAATAAATATCAATTTAAAAAATGCAAAAAAAGACACTGAAAATATATTAAACAAAATTTTAGAAGAAAACTTTCCCAACCTAAAGAAGGATATCCCTATGAAGGTACAAGAAGCTTACAGAGCACCAAATAGACTGGATCAAAAAAATCCCTTGCCATATAATAATCAAACACAAAACACACAGAACAAAGAAAGAATATTAATAGCTGCAAAGGAAAAAGGCCAAGTAACATATAAAGGTAGACCTATCAGAATTACACCTGACTTCTCTATGGAAACCATGAAAGCCAGAGGCCCTGGATAGATTGCTGCAGACACTAAGAGACCATGGATGCAAGACCAGACTACTATACCCAGCAAAGCTTTCATTAACCATTGATGGAGAAAACAAGATATTCAATGACAAAAACAGATTTAAACAATACGTATCCACAAACCCAGCCTTACAGAAAGTACTAGAAGGAAAACCACAACCCAAGAAAGCCAGCAACACCCACACAAACGCACATCTGATAACCCCCCACCAGCATAACCCTGTCTGCCTTACACAGATGCAGTGATCCATGAAGTACAGCGCTTCGCAGACGTCATCCCCATGAACCTGCCTCACCGCGTCATTCGGGACATGCATTTCCGTGGCTTCCCGATACCCAAGGTGTGCAGGGGTAACCTAGGAATAGGTATTTCAGGATCTTGTAATTGACTAAGGGGTACCCTTAACCTTAGCAATCAACACCCAGAGTAAAGCTGCAGACATGGAAGTTGCTTGTTTCTAAAAATTTTTAAACATTTTTTCCAATTTTTAATTTGATTTTTTATGTGTATGGCTGGGTGTTTTATTTGGAAAGTATGTCTGTGTGCCAAATGCATGCAGTGCCCAAGGAGGCCAGAAGAGGGCGTTGTGTTCTCTGGAGCTGGAGTTACATATGGCTGGGCACCACCATGTTGGGGCTGGGAATCAAACTCAGGTCCTCTTCAAGAGCAGCCTGTACCCTTAACACCGGAGCCATCTCCTCAGCCCTGTTTTGTACATTTTGAGACAAAGTCTCTTGTAGCCCAGGTTGGCCTCAAACTCCCTATGTGACTAAGAGTGAACCTGAACTCCGGATGGTCCTGTTCTACCTCCTGTGTGCTGGGATTGGAAGCATTGGCCGCTTTAGCCATTTCAGGTTCTTAGAAACACAGTCCTTTCCCAGAAACCCTTCTCACACCAGAAGGGATTAGAACTCCATACTCCTTCCCTATCTCAAACCTCTACCTTGGACCCTCCCCAGAATCACCAGGGCCTGGGACTTCATCTAAACATCTATCTTCTGAGGCCAAACCACCATTCTTGGAGGACCCCTCCCTCAGAAACCCTACATCTGTTCAAAGCTCTGGGCCAATGGTTTCTCAAACCTCAACAGCAGCTATCAGCACCTCTCTCTAGGAACCCTGGATGGAGTCTGTGCCCACCCTTTTCAAGCCCCTAGAAGTTCCATCTTTGCAGCATGGAAATCTGAGTTTGAAGGAGACAGAACAACCCTCTTCCAGAATGGAGAGCTGTCTTAGCAGTTTTAAGAACACTGGCTGCTCTTCCAGAGGATGCGGGGGATGCGGATTGGATTCCCAGCATCCACATCACAACCCCCAGTCCCAGTTCCAGGAGACCAGCTTCTCTCTCCTGACCTCCTTAGCACTTGCACCCACGTGGCACACGTATCTCCATGCAGGCAAACACTCAGACACATAAAATAAAAATAGTAAAATCCTCAGGAGGTCTGCATTGACTCTGTCTCCTCATCCACACAGGGCACAGATGTCATCACGCTTCTTAACACCGTGCACTATGACTCCGAACAATTCAAGACGCCTCGGGAGTTCAATCCCGAGCATTTTCTGGATGCCAATCAATCCTTCAAGAAGAGCCCTGCCTTCATGCCGTTTTCGGCTGGTAAGGATGGAGTCGCTCTTTTGAACCATACTCCTAATCCGACTCTGAAAACCTTCTCGATCCCAACCCATTCTTAGCTTTCCTTACAGAGATTTCCCTTTTCCAGTTTGGCTCCTGTAACCCCCAAGTGGAAGCCCATGAATTTAAAAAGATTTTCAGACTCTCCACTAGGTGGCGAGCCTGGCTCTGATTTTCCTTAACTCTGCCTTGCCCGCTAGCAGCAGGGGAGGAAGAAGAGGGCGGGGAAGGGGAAAGAGGGCAGTACTCCTATTTACTCAGCAGAGAGGACCAAATGAGGTAAAATGTCAGATAAGTGACCCTGTCGCCTTTTATGTGCCCTGCTGCCTCTGGGAAGGGGCAGTGGCTGAGAGTTGGACTCCATAGCCAGATGATACCGGATTGATTGCACCCCAGCTGTGTCCCAGCTGTAGGAACGTTCAAATACAGGATTTGAACCCAACCAGCTGCACTCGTATTGGCAGCCACTTCGGCTTCATTTCCCCCAAAACATTGATGACTTTGTCGGTGATATCCCCAGCCGTTATCTTCAAACCCACATATTTTCCTCTGAGCATATGCGAGCACAGCCCCACACTCTACTTCACCTTTGCTCTTGGCCCTCCCACCCACGCAGGACGCCGACTGTGTCTGGGGGAGCCTCTGGCGCGCATGGAGCTCTTCATATACCTCACCTCCATTCTGCAGAACTTCACCTTGCAACCGCTGGTGGAGCCTGAGGACATCGACCTGACCCCACTTAGCTCAGGGCTGGGCAATATGCCAAGGCCTTTCCAGTTATGTGGGCAGGTTCGCTGAGTACCGCTCCCAGGGACTGCTCTGTCCCTCTCTCAGCTGGTTTCACTGTCGGTGTGGGCCTCCATCAGGGTCTCTACCACATTCTCTTTCCTAACCCCTTTACCCTCCTATCTTAAACCTATCTTCGAAGAAAAAATGACGTGGCAAAGGGGAAATGCAGTCTTATACCCACAGAACCTACTCTGTAATGTGCCCTTTCCTGGGCTTTTTGTATCATTTCCTAATAAATATCTTGACAATAGATTTATACCTGACTTGATTAAATTAATAAAGGAGAAAAGCTCTTTATGGCAGTGATTCTCAATCTGGGGGTTGAACAACCGATTCAGAGGGTGCGCCTAAGACCATCTGAATATCAGATATTTACATTATGATCTATAACAGTAGCAAAATTACAGTTATATGACAATAATGTTATGATTGGGAGTCATCACAACGTGAGGAACTGTATCAAAAGGTCGCAGCATTAGGAAGGTTGAAAACCATTGTTTTATGGTGAAGATGAGATCTGGATGCTGAGAGGGGTGAAGACATGCCCATCCTAAGCCCGGCCTTCCTAAGTCTTGCCTACTCTAAACCCCTCCTGGAGTCACCAGTTGTAAAATCAAAGACTTTGTGTGAGCTTCAGGTTGAGTTCAAGGCCAGCCTAACCAGACATTGTCCTTAGTTAAGTTTTTTTTAAAGTGTTGAAGATATGTCTCGCGGATGCTCCTTGCCCATGTGTATGATGCCCACATGATCCAGTCTCCAGTACAGCAAACAAAAGGGGGAGGGCTAATGTTTTCGGAAGGCTAGCTTGAAAGCAAAGAATGTGGCGGCCTAAAGATAGAGAGGCAGAGAAACCAAGAAAGATGGGGAAAGTTACCAGGAGACATAGCAAGCAGGGGTCCTGTGGGATTGAAGTCAGAGAACTAAGGGGCTGAGAAACAATTGTGATGGCTTACACAGTGCTTCCTAAGGAAACTCTCCCTGTGGAACAAAGAGGCGTTGTCATTATCTGTTCACAGACCAAACTGAGACCCAGAAAGTTGAGGTGGTTTTTCCCAGATCACAGCATCAGAAATGAGTAGATCTGGGATCTAAACCCTGATGCGATGACCACCGAAACCGCAGTTCTAACCACCGCCTTTTAATAGACAGAGTATGCAGAGCGACAGAGGGAAACAGTGTCAGCCACGGAAGAAAGTAGACAGATAAAGAAAAACGGGGGCTAGAGAGTTGGCTCAACAGTTAAGAGCACTTGCTACTCTTCCAACGGACCCTGGTTCGAGTCCCAGGACCCATATGGTGGCTCACAACTGTTCACTCCTGTTCTAGGGGATCTAACACCCTCTTCTGGCCTCCACAGGCAGTAGCATGTGGCACACAGACATAAATGAAGGCAAGACAGCCATACACATAACACAAAGATTTTTGGGATTTTATTATTGTTATTTGTTTTGCTTTTTTAGTTTCTTTTGTTTTTGTTTTTGTTTGTTTGCTTGTTTTTCCAGATAGTGTCTCACTGTGTAACCCTGGCTGTCCTGGATGGAATTCACTCTGTAGACCAGGCTGGTCCCAAACTCACAGAGATCTGCCTACCTCTATCTCATGAGTTCTGGTATTAAAGGCAAAGATTTAAAGGGAGAAATACAGAGAAAGGGAAATAGGAGAGAGAGAGAGAGAGAGAGAGAGAGAGAGAGAGAGAACAGCAAAGATGTGGGTAGAGGAGGAAAGAGCAAAGAAAAAGACCTGGAAATCCAGGTCCACAATCTCAGATACTCCAGAGTTTGGGGCAGGAGGATCACTGATCAAAACCTGCCTGGCTACAGAGTGAGTTCAAAAGCCATCCTGGATGACATTGTGAGATCTTGTCTCAAAAATTAAAAAGGATTAGAAACTAAGTGTGGTGGCCCATGTGTTTAATCCCAGAACTCGGGAGGCAGAGGCAGATACTTATGAGTTCAAGACCAGCCTGGTATACAGAGTGAGTTCCAGGCCAGTCAGGGCTACATAATGAGACCCTGTCCCCACCTTCCATGGGGGGCAAAAAGGCTTGAAATGTTACTCAACAGTATAGAGCTTGTCCAGAATCCCCCAGTGAGTGGTTGGAGTGTGGCTCAGTGATAGAGTACTTGCCCAGAATCTACCTAGGGAGTGGGGGCTGATGACATGAATCAGTGGTAAAGGACTTGCCCCGAATTCCCCAGTGAGGGTCTGGGGTCTTCTCTCACTGGTAGAGCACCTGCCTAGCATCCCTCAGTGAGGGGCTGGAGTGTGGCTCAGTGGTAGAGCACCTGCCTAGCATGTGCAGGCCTCTAAATATAATTCCTGGAAACAACAGCAATATAAAGATAATGAGTAAAGATAAGAACCATATGTGGAGGCAGTAAGATGTAGGAAGATAGACTCTCACTTCTCACACACCCACACCCCATACCCTACCCACACAAACACAGGCCAATTCCTTTGATCTGCAATTTCTCCCTATAGGGTGGGGAAATCATCTCAGGCATGAAGCTTCACAGCTCAGTACCGACCCTGACAACTTGACATTCTGCTGAGGACAGCTTTCCTTCCAAGCTGCAGGCACAGTGAATCTGGCTCCCAGCCACAGGCAGCACTAAGGGAGAGAGGCCTGCCTTGAAAAGAGTCTCCCCAAAGCCATCAGCAGTTGGGACATGCTCTGAAGAGCCCGAGGCTGGTCTGGGTGAGGCCTATAGATAATCTTGACGTGGGATATTAACTTCTTAATCCCTACAGGGAGATCACAGGTCCAGTTCAGAACCTGAACAGGCACGAAGAAGCCCAGGGAGAGAGGCAAAGAGAAACACATTAAGATGCTGAAAAGAGACCGAGGCGTGATGGAACACATCTGAACCTCTGCTTGCACGCGGGGGGCTGGAGCAAGCGGTTCTGACTTCAAGGCCAGCATGGGCTGCGATAGCGAGCGAGGCTCAGTCTCAGAAGCCAGGTCTGTTGGTGCAGACCTACAATCCCAGATATCTGGGAGGCTGAGGCAGGATCTTAGCAAGTTCAAGGCCAGACTGGAGCAACTTAGTGAGACCTTGTCTCAAAACAAAATGTAAAAAGAGAGCTGAGCCCCTGCCTAGAAGGCTCCCCCCACCATGAAGGGCTGGGGTGTGGCTCAGTGGTAGAGGCCCTGCCTAGAATCCCCCAGTGAGGAGTTAGAGGTGTGACTCAGTGGAAGAGCAGAGCACTTATATAAAATTTACCAGTGAGGGGCCCAAGCATGGCTCAGTGATAGAGTGCTTGTCTAGAGTTTACCAGTGAGGAGCTGGGTGACCATGTAATAAAGCTCATTCAAGCTCTAGGTACAATACCTAGTACTGGTGGGGGCATTAAAACAGACAGAGACAAGAAGTCACAGGAACAACAGAGAGAGACCTTGGTTAATGAAATCTATTATTCTGGAATTAGAAACCTGACTTCCTACCACACCAATATTGTCTCCGGTATCAGGAGACAATAGTTGGTAGAAGTTTATTCAAGGGTCAGCAATGTTGAGAAGAAGGGGCGCTGTGGCTTCAAAGTTCCATCTTGAGGGGCTCAGGGACACAGAGTGCTTTGTGGAGGGGGAAGAAGTATGAAAAGAAGGCTGTGTCACTCAGCCCGGTCTGAGTCATCCAGGGCTATGTCCATCTTTTTTCTTCTTTTCCAAAACATGACAGTGGACTTTAACCTGAGGCTGTTCCTGCACCTCTTTCAGACAGATATATTCACACAACAGAAGACGTGATGGCTAATTTTTTTTATCTGTTTATTTGATTTGGTTTTTTGAGACAAGGTCTCACTATATATCCCTGGCTGTCCCAGAACTGGTTCTATAGACCAGGCTGGCCTAGAACTCACAGAGTTCGGCCTCCCTCTGCCTCCCAAGTGCTGAAATTAAAGGAGTGCGCCACCATGCCTGGCTCTGATGACTAATCTCGACTGTAGTGTTCGTTACTAAAATGTAACTTGCTGAAAAGGACAGGGTCAACGAGACAAAATGGCAGCCTACAGAGTGAGAAAAGATCTTCACCAATCCCACATCGGACAGAGGGCTGATCTCCAAAATATACAAAGAACTCAAGAAATTGGTCATCAAAAAAACAAATAATCCAATTTAAAAATGGGGTACAGACCTAAACAGAGAAATCTAAAATGACTGAAAGACACTTAAGAAAATGTTCAACATCCTTAGTCATCAGAGAAATGCAAATCAAAACAACTCTGAGATTCTATCTTACACCTGTAAGAATGGCCAAGATCAAAAACACTGATGACAACTTATGCTGGAGAGGTTGTGGGGAAAAGGGAACACTCCTGCATTGCTGGTGGAAATGCAAGCTGGTACAACCCCTTTGGATGTCAGTGTGGTGATTTCTCAGAAAATTAGGAAACAACCTACCTTAAGACTCAGCAATACCACTTTTGGGTATATATCCAAAGGATGCTCAATCGTGCTACAAGGACATGTGCTCAACTATGTTCATAGCAGCATTATTTGTCATACCCAGAACCTGGAAACAACCTAAATGCCCCTCAACCGGAGAATGGATAAGGAAAATGTGGTACATTTACACAATGGAGCACTACACAGCTGGAAAAAAATAAAGACATTTTGAAATTTGTGGGCAAATAGATGGATCTAGAAAACATTATATTGAATGAGGTAACCTAGACCCAGAAAGACAAATATCATATTACTCACTCATAAGTGGCTTTTAGACATAAAGCAAAGAAAAACTAGCCTATAATTCACAATCCCAGAGAACCCAGACAATAATGAGAACCCTAAGAGAGACATACATACATGGATCTAATGTACATGAGAAGTAGAAAGACAAGATCTCCTGAGTAAATTGGGAGCATGGGGACCATGGGAAAGGGTAGGAGGGGAGGCGAGAGGAAAGGAGAGGAATGATGAAAAAATATAGCTCAATAAAAACAATTTTTAAAAAGTAACTTGCTGAGTAGTGGTGGTGCATGCCTTTAATCCCAGCATTAGGGAGACAGAGCGAGGGGTCATC